TGGGGACAGCTCTCCTGCAAGTCCAGCCCCGAGGGCCAGAGGGAACTGCTGCAGGCACTGCGGAGACCCGAGGCTGCGGGGAGCCCCGCCCTCTTGGTCCTAGTGCCCTGGCAGGCTCTCCAGCACGACACGTCCCCTGCCCAGCCACTCGGGCAAACAATGCAGGTTTCCGTTTGTAACGAAGTTGGGGTTCCTAGCACCTGCCCTGTTGGGAACAGCTGTGCATTAATGAGAGGAGCCCAGGACTTGGCATCAGAGACCAAGGGTTGGACAAGCTTCACTGCCTCCTGGCTACCTGACCTTGCCCAAAGACTTAGTGTCCCTGTCCCTAGGAGTGGTGCTAATGATTCCTTGTTTCTCAAATCTAGGTTATTTCCCAGAAAATGGATGCACATTAGCCCGCAAGGGCTTCCCAGATGGGAGAGGGTATGAAGGAGAGGGGGAGGGAGAGGCTGCCCCCCCCCTTCGGCTACCTGCCCCATCTGGAGAATTCGTTTCCACCTTTGTCTCAGACAATGACCTCTCACTTCCAAGGCTGCTTCAACTCTGGTCTCCCTGAAACTGGGCCCCATCCCAACAGGAACAGACTTGGCTGCCAAGGACACCCCTCACATAGGATGGGTGAGGAACAGACAGTCACTGCTTAAATCCGCAAAAGCATTCTTCCAGCAGTGTAGATCAGAAAGAGCGCTTGGCAGCTTGGCCTCTCCGGGAAGCCTGGCCTCTGGGCTCTCTGCCCCACCAGCCCCGGGAGCCACCGCATGATTCCCCTGTAGGACCCCCCAGCCCTCCCTGCACACACCCAGCCCAGGACGCCCCAGGCCTACGTCCTCTGCCCGGTCCCCCTCCAGCCGACGCATGGGGGGCGCTGCGGACCCCACTGCCCGCCTTGTTCTGGGAAAGGACAAGAGGTGCCCTGGCCAGCCCAGCAACCTGCGCCCTGGCGCCCCGCTTCGGCGCAGTTCCGGAGGCTATCGGTCAGGTCCAAGGCAGCTACCGAAGCTCTCGCCACGCTCCAACCCGGACCCGGCTTGAGCTTCGTCCGGCTAGCTAAAGCCACTCGGCCACACCCACGTGCCGGTTTCCCACGACCCAGCCGGGAAGGAACGGAAACCCCAAGAAATAACAGCCAAACCAGGCCCTACTCAGCTCCCCAGGGCCCCAGGTACCTTGGCGAAAGAGTGCCTGCAAACAAAGGCGGCATCCCTGCTGTTGTCAGTCCCCTCCATCCGCGGGCCGGACCCCTCCCCCCTCAGGAATTAAGAGGCACCACCTTTGTACCCACCTCCCCACAGAAGACCCAAGAAGGTTCTGCAGCTAGATACCCTATGTGCAGTCAGGCTCTGGCGCGGGCTCTGGTTGAGGTCCGCTGCCTAGACAGGGGACTGTATTTCCTCAAGCCGGTAGACGAGAGTGTGCTCTTACATCCTGGGCCGCTTCCCCCATCCCGAGAAAGCCCGGACTAGGCAAGCTACGGCGCACTCGGGTTCAAGGACACGAGGCTGGGGTGCTTGGCAAGATCGATGTCCCGTATGACAACGGAAGGAAAGAAATGAAAACCTCCAGGCAAGGACGCACGCCTCCCTACCCAGCCAGGAAACTTTGAGGGGCTGCAAGGTTCGCAGCGCCTCTTACGCTGACAGGTGCGCCCTGCAGCCGGGGCCCACGCGCGGCGGCACGGAAACTTGCACTGGCGGCGGCGGCGGCTCCCCCGCTCGAGCCTAGGCGCCCTCGGACCCCTCTGAGCCGGCAAGGAGTGGGAGCTCATCAAACAGACCCGTGCTGTGGGGATCGGATCGCTGGAAATCGTGATGTCCCCGCAGGTGCGAAGCCCCTGCGGGCGTGAGTGGGGGGAGGGGCACACTAGCCTCGCGCCCCGCACCAGTCTCCCCAACCCCCCGCCCCCCGCCTCCTTATTCATTCACAAAACACGAGCCGCAAGGGAGGAAGGGAGAAGGAGAGGCTGCAGGAGCCCAGGATGTTGGAAGAAAGGAAGAGAGACCGGTGGGGAAGCCGCGGCATGGACCGCCGCCGGGAATCCTAGAACGGCCGCAAGCCCTGACCATCCGGAACCCTAGGGTCCCCAGCAAGAGGCGCCTGAGGAGCAGCCCGGTACGGCCCCCGCCCCTTGGATGCGCTCACCGTGCCGCCGGCTCCCGCGCTCCGGTGCTCAGCAGGCCCGCGGCGGCTCCATGCCCCTCCTCCGGCTCCGCCGCCGCGCGCTGCTTCTACCGCGCTCCGACTGATGATCGCCGGGCCAGCCGAGCCTCCTTAAGTATTGTGCCCTCTTCCCGCCCCGCCGCCGCCGGGAAAGTTGACAAGAGTGGAGCCCGCGAGCGCTGGCTGCTGCTCTCCAGACCCGGGGGTCTCTCGTGGACGCAGCCCCTCCGGCTCTAGAGTCGCAGCCTCTGCGCACTCTGGGAAACGGGGGACCCCCAGTGTAGCCCAAGGCCCCCGCGGCTCCGCGCCGACCTCCGGGCCAGTAGCCTTGGAAAGGCGGCCATTGTCCCCAGCCTGAAGCGTCGTTAACTTTCCAGATGACCCGTAGGGACCTCCAAAACCGTTCCTGTCCATCCCCGTCCCCACGCCCTGGTCCCGAAGTCTGAAAACCTACCCTGCAAGCGGCTAGCACAGAGTGTATCTTCCCCGACTTCTAAACCAGTGTTCTTCTGGAACCTTCCCGGTGGCAAGAGAGAGGAACAGAGGAGAAAAAATTGTCAAATAAAAAGAAGCTGGTCAAAGAAGGTGTTAACAGTCGTGACAAGCTGAGCTTTGAATTCCGCAGCGGGGCGCTGATGACATTAAGGCTGTTTGCAAAAGCTGCAGATTGGTCTAGCAGGAACCTAGGAGATCCCGGTCTCAAAGCCCAAACAATTCTTCCTCCCCACCTTCACACCTTTATTTCCGACATCCCGACCTCTTAAGTTTCCATCTGACATCCTTGCTAATAGTTGCCAGGCCTCTGAACGCTGGTGCTAGACTTGGGTGAGGTGAGGTGGAGGGGGGTTCAGGAGAGGAGGGTGCTATTAGCAGGAGTTAGAACCAGCCGGAGACCTGGAGCTTTTACATCTCGGAGAAACTTGAAGAGAAATGATAATTAAAGACTAGTTTTAAAAATGAATTTATGGGGCCAGCAACGGTGGTGCACACCTTTAATCCCAGCACAGAGGTAGGCCAATCTCTGAGTTCAAGGCCAGCCTGGTCTACAGAGTGAGTTCCAGGACAGCCAGGGCTACACAGTGAAACCCTGTCTCAAAAAAACAAACAACAACAACAAAACGATGTGTCCTTTAAGTATCAGAGATAACTTGGCCAGCTGACACCATTTCATAGGCATGTGAGCTGCAGTTTGGAAGCTGTGCTCTCAGACTTGTCCACAGTCCCTCAGTCACTTAACCACAGCACCTGGCTTACCTCTGCACCCTGTCCCATCCTGACAGACAAAATCACTGTGTGTCACCCTGCTTTGGGGGACATCGCTGCATGGGTTAAAAGGCTTCACAGTGCGTTTGCTTTGTTTTGTTATTTATTTTGAGACAGGATCTCTCTAGCCCAGGATGGGCGCTTGAACTTCCTATGTAGCCAAGGGGATAACCTTGAACTTCTTATTCTTCTTCCTTTAACTCAGAAGAGACAGGTGAGGTCCACCACACCCAGTTTATTCAACAATGGGGCATGAACCCTAGCTTTTGCACATCCATGGTAAGCACTGTGTGCTATCCCCGGCTCCAAAGAATGGGCTGAGACAGGGTTTCTCTGTGTTAACAGTCCCGGCTGTCTTTGAACTCTCTTTATAGACCAGGATGGCCTGGAACTCACAGAGATCCTCCTGCCTCTGCTTCTCCAGTGCTGGCACTAAAGGCTAAGAGTGTGCTCTTAAAAGCTGTTGAGACGGCTCAGAAAGTAAAGACACTTTGGGTCAAACTTGAGCTCAATCTCTGGGACTCACATGTTGGAAGGGGAGAAGCAATTACCACAAGTCCTCTGACCTCCGCACAAGTGATATATAGGTCCACAATAAATCAATAAAACACAGAAAGGCTGCTATTGAATCCACAATGGCATGTGTGTTGCGCTACAGATCGTCTGAGGGGCCCGGCAATAGCCATCAGCAAATACCGGGATAGAGAAGTGTTTGCTTGGTAAAGAGAATTGTTCAGGAGTCGGTCGGCTTGTTCTGCCACTGGCTGTAACAGTAAACCTCAAGGTCTCCCTCCTAGAAACGAGGGAGAGGACTCTTCCAAGATTTGCAGAGTAGTTGAGAGAGTCCGTACATAGTCAGCCTCCGCCTGAGGTGGCGTCATGGCCATCCTGATGGTCAGTGACTGGCAGCTTTCCAGCTGGTGTTTAGATAAACAAACAATATCTTGTCTTGATTCCGTTACAGATCCTAGGAGCCCAGGGCCACCATGCCACCTCAAGAGGCACCGGAGTCTGGAGGGGCCAGGGTCTTAGGGATCTATTTGATCTCCCCTCCTCCCTCCCAGAGTTGCAGTATACATTTTAGATCAAGGAAAGCAAGCAGGGGGTCGGCAGAGCCAAACAAAGGTGCAGTGGCCTCCTGGAGAGCAGATGTTCCACACAGAGGTTCATCTCCCTGTGGTGGGAGGGCCTAGCATGGCCAGGTGCTTAGCTGCTTGAGGAAGCCAGAAATCTAGACCTGTATGTGAAATCTCTTCGTTTTTAAGTGTTAGCAGCTGATTCAGAAGTTGAAAACAAACATTCCATAGGTTAGATAAAATGCACCAGTCATTGGCTGCCAACTGGCTGCTTGTAAAATGTTTAGATGCTCAAGGATTGGGGCAGCCATCTTGAAAAGGCCCAGTTCTGTCCCTTTCCTGACTTCTCTGTGTACACATTCCCTTCCCTGCAGCTGCTCCAGGGACAGCACATGCTAGTTAGTTTCAAAGACTCCAACTATGACCCGCAGTTTTCTTGTCTCTCTGCTGACTCTAGGGTGGGGCTGGCTCAGCACAACCTTGCCAGTCAGTTAAGACCTTCCACAGGAACAGTGGGCCAAATGCCACATTAAGGACCTGTAGCATGAATCTTAAAAATTCTTATTAATAAAAACAAACCCAGAGCCAGGTATTGGGGTGAATGCTGGAAGATCAGAGAAGCAGAACAAGCCATAGCTACCTCACTTTGCCAATTCCTCAGCTGATCCTAAATCCTTAGACTGGATGCCTCTCCGCTGAACTGTGCAAAAGCCTAAAAGCTTAACCAGCCCTAGTTCCTGGGTCTCATGCCTTATACACCTTTCTGATTTCTGTAAGCACTTCCTGGGATTCAAGGCTGACTTCCTGGTATTAAAGGCGTGAGTCACCATGCCTGGCTGTTTCCAGTGTGGCTTTAAACTTACAGAGATCCGGATGGATCTCTGCCTCCCAAGTGATAGGATTAAAGGCGTGTGTGCCACCATTTTCTGGCCTCTGTGTCTAGTGGCTGTTCTGTTCTCTGACCCCAGATAAGTTTATTAGGGTACACAATATTTGGGGGAACACAATATCACCACAAGGACCATCGGCACTCTGCCTATACCAACTGGCTTTGCTACAATCTAAGTGGTGAACTGTCCCTTTCTGATGTGCAGGACCATATAGTCAGGCAGATAAAAAACCGTCTTTCCCTTTGTAAGGCTGGCGGTAGCAGGGAGGATTTGCAGGAATTAGCATCCAGTTTGAGGGGCCCTGTTTGCATTTATTCCTTCATTGGAAAGTTGTAAAGGGGCTGCAGTTTCTCTCCGTGTACCACTGGGGATTTAGAAATAGGGTTAATTCCATACCCAGTCACTTACAAATGTGCATTCAAATGTTGCTGAATCAGCTTTTGCACAGGTTCTAGACACTAAGTCCCTCAATCTGGCTCAAAAGATTTGTGTCGCCCAGGTGGTGGGGGTGGAGAGTGTTGGGGGGGGTGTTGGCGTATGCCGTTAATTCCAGCACTCGGGAGGCAGAGCCAGGTGGATCTCTGCGAGTTCGAGGCCAGCCTGGTCTACAAAGTGAGTTCAAGGAAGGGCGCAAGGCTACACAGAGAAACTCTGTCTCAAAAAACAAAAAAACAAAAAACAAAACAAACAAAAAAAAAAATTGTGCCACACTCATTTAACACATTTGGGAAGCCTGCAGAGCAGCCTCGGGCTAGTCACCACCGTGTGGAAGAAGTTTGTCCATACTGAAGATGAATCGGCTCTCGAAATCAAGTTGTCCCAAGAGGCAGTTTATAATTGAAAATTTTCCTTCTTTCCTTCTGCCTTTTTATGAGGCAAGGTGTATTTTGTGTAGCCCAGGCTAGCCCAAACTCTTGGCGCTCCTTCTGCCTCAGTCTCCAGAGTGCTGAGATTGCAGGCATAATTAATGACGATGTGAAGATCTGACTGGACGAAGTCAAGGACATCAGAAGAGAGATCTCTGTTAGCTAGAATGAGTTAGACAGAGGCCCCTGGAGAACATTCTAGACGAGAAGAGAAGCTACCAGGAACGGCAAAGGGAGGCCTGGGTGAAAAGAAGACATTTATCCCAAGAACTCCAGCTGTGTCTGCTGATGGAGTCTAGCTGCTGTGAACAGAAGGTGGCTAGGGACGATCGTGTGTGACTTTGGAGTTGTCTAACAGGCTACAAGCATTGTTAGTGGCGAAGCTCGGTCATAGGCAGCATTTTGTGCCAAGGACTAGAAACAAGACCTAAGCTATCTGATAGGCAAATAAGGCAACAGAGGGCTGAGGAGGGGCAGCGATGTCGGTGCTGCTTCCGAAGGTAATAATGTCACCCACTGTGGGCATAGCTGATGGCAAGATGAAGAATAATTAAAAAGAAGGGATTTTCTCCCGGCTGTGGAGCCCCACCCCAACCATATACAAAAAACAAAACAAAAACAAAAACAACCAAAAAAAAAAAAACAAAAAAACCCCAAATACACAGTTATTTTAAAACATCTTTCTAAAGTGATGCATGGCCCTGCAGTCCTAGCTGCTTAGAGGCTGAGGCAAAAGGATCTCTTGACCCTGTGAGTTCAAGACTAGCCTGAGTCAGGTGTGGTGGTGCACACCTTTAAGCTCAGCATTCAGGAGGCAGAGGCAGGGAGAGCTTTGTGAATTTGAGGCCAGCCTGGTCTACATAGAGAATTCTAAGATAGCCAGAGCTAGAGAGACCCTGTCTCTAAATAAATAAATAAATAAATAAATAAATAAATAAATAAATAAATAAATAAATAAATATAATTAAAAAAAAAAGACTTGTCGGGCAGCGGTGGTACATGCCTTAAGTTCCAGGACTCGGGAAGAGGAAGAGGCAGGCAGATCTCTGTGAGTTCAAGGCCAGCCTAGTCTACAGAGCGAGTTCCAGGACAGGCTCCAAAGCTACACAGAGAAATATAAGTCTCTCATCTCAAAACAAAACAAAAAAATCAAAATCTAAAACAGCTCTCAAATTGTAGCAGCATGTTCTGTTTCCTCTAGGGCTTGCTTTCTCTTGAAGGCAGTGTAAGTCACAATGCTACATAGTAGTGACTCAAAGTGCAGAGTGTGTGCCTTGAGCCTAGAGAGGCGGCTACTCCCCACAAAGCCGTTCTTTTGTAGCTCACCTCTCCTGTGGACACCTTGCCTGGCTACAGTTGCAACTCTGGCTTTGGATGGGAATTGGAACTGCACAGGTTTTAAATTAAGCACCCTCTGCTCTGCTGGTGGCCAGGTGCTTTCCTGCATCCTTGAAGGTCAGGATTAGGTCAGACCAGACCAACAATCCCCAAACAACCTGGGGATGCTTTTTTCCCCTTTTCCCTTAAATTGAGCCATAAGAGAAAAGGTTTTGTGTAGCCATCTTTCCTTTCTGTCTTCTTTTAAATGAACGTGGAAAACCCCAGAAGGCAGTTATCACCTATCATCTATCAGCTACTAAAAATTATGCTCATGAAGAGAACACAATTACTCCAGAATGTTCGTGTGCATTGTTGAATAAATATACAGAACGCAAAGTTGCTGCTCTGAATTATCATTTCTCTATTATCTATGACTATTTCTCTGTTTTGTTTTGTTTTGTTTTGTTTTGAATTATATGAATTCAGGACTGGAAAGATGGCTCAATGTTTAAGCTCCCATATCAGTGGTGGGAACCGGACTTGGGTCCTCCGAAAGAGCAGCAAATATTCTGAACCACTAAGCCATCTCTCCAGCTCCTTTATTTTTTTTTTTCTTTAACACATTTTTACTTATTTATTGTGTATGTGGGTGTGGGTATGCCTCGGCACATGTGGCTCAGAGGACAACTTGTGAGAGTTCTCTCCTTCTACCACGTGGGTCCCTAGGATCAAACTCAGATCCATAGCATCTGTAGCAGG